CAGAGTGTGGGGATTACAGGCGTGAACCACTGCACCCGGCACTACTCTCTGTTTCTGTAAGTCTTTGTCTCATGCTGTATTTGTCTTTCTGTAATTTTGTTATTTCACTTAGCATAATGTCCTCTAGGTTCATCTATGTTGTCAAAAATGGCATAATTTCCTTCTTTTTGTAAGGCTGAATAATATCCCATTATATATATGGCCAGCCTTCTGTATCCACAATTCCACATCCACAGATTCAACCAAAATCAGATTGAAAATATTTTGGGGAAAAAAACCAATAAAAAATAATAAGATAATGATAGAAAACAATATAAATTTAAAGATGCAGGATAACACCTATTTGCATAGAATTAATACTGTATTAGGTATTATAAGGGTGCGTGCAGGTTATGTGCAAACACTGTATCATTTTATATAAGGGACTTGAGCATCTGTGGATTTTAGTATCCTTGGAGGGTCCTGGAACTAATCCCCTATGGATATCAAGGAATGACTGTATATACTATATTTTCTTTTTTTGTTTGTTGTTGTTGTTGCAGTTTCTGGCCAGGGCTGGGTTTGAACCCACCACCTCTGGCATATGGAGCTGGTGCCCTACTCCTTGAGCCACAGGCACCTCCCACTATATTTTCTTTGTCCATTCATCCACCAACATATAGATTGAGTCTGTATCTTGGCTATTGTAAATAATGCTTACAAAACCTATTGTAAGCTGAAAATATTGTAAGTTGAAAATGCATTTAATATATGTAACTACCAAACATCAAAGCTCAGCTAGTCTACCTTAAATGTGCTCAGAACATGTACATTAGATTACAGGCGAGCAAAATAATCTGCAACATGGTATGCTGTGGAGTTTTGGCTGTCTATCCTAGTGATCACAGAGCTGACTGGGATCTGCTGCTCACTGCTGACAGCACCCCAAGAGTATCTTAACTGAATAGCCCAGGAAAAGTTCAAAACTCAAAATTCAAAATGCAGTTTCTACTGAATACATATTGCTTTTGGACCCTCATGGAGCTAAAAAATCATAAGACAAACCATTTTAAGTTGGGGACTGTCTATATATTAAAAAGTGGAATTGCTGGATCATATGCTGTGTGTATGTGTATTTATATATTTTGAAGATGGAGGTTTCTCTATCTTGCCCCGGCTGGTTTTGAACTCCACAACTCAAGAGATTCTTCCACCTCAGTCTCCAGAGTAGCTGGGACTACAGGCATACTCCACCATATCTGGGCTATTTTTAATTTTTCAAGAAATCTCTACACTGTTCTCCATAATGGCTATACCAATTTACATTATCATCAATAAGGTTTAAGGGTTCTCCTTTCTCCATATTTTCACCAGCTCTTGTTCTCTTCTGACTTTTTGATAATATCGATAATACCCTTCCTAACAGGAGGTGACAGCTTATTTTATGGTTTTGATCTGCACTTCTCTGATGATTAGTGATGTTGAATACCTTTTCATAAACCCGTTGGGTACTTCTATACCTTCTTTGGAAAAATGTGTATTCAGATCTTTTGCCTATTTTTAATCAAGTTTTTCAGTTTTTTTGCCATTGACTTGTATTGACTTACATTCCTTATGTTTAGACATTAACTCCTTACCAGATAAAGGGTTTGCTAATATTTTCTTCCCTTTTCATTTAGCCAATTGTTTCCTTTGCTGTGCAGAGAGTTTTTAATTTGTTACGGTCCAACTTGTTTATTTTTACTTTTGTTGCCTGTGCTTCTGGTGTCATATTCAAAAAATTATTGCCAAGACCAATGCCATGGAGCTTTTCCACTGTTTTCTTCTAGGAGTTTTGTGGTTTTAGGTCTTTGCCTTTAATCCATGTTGAGTTTCTTTTTGTATTTGGTGTAACATAATAAACCAATTTCATTTTTTTTTTTTTTGCCAGTGTATATTGTTTTCTCAATACCATTTTCTGAAAGGACTAACTGTTCTCCACTGTGTATGTACATAGTCTTACACCTTTGTTGAAGATTAGTTGGCTATATTTTCATGGGTTTATTTCTGGGCTTTTCATTCTGTGCCACTGGTCCATGTGTCTATTTTTATGCCAGTACTATAATGGTTTGACTAATATAGTTTTGTAAAATAATATAACTTGAGATCAGAAGGCGTGATGCTTCCAGCTTTGCTCTTGCTCAAGACTGCTTTAGCTATTCAAGGTCTTTGGTGGTTCCATACAGATTTTAGGATTAAAAAAAAATTTATGTGAAAAATACCACTGGAATTTTTGTAGGAATTGCATTGAATCTGTAGATTGCTTTGAGTAGTAGTAAGGACATTTTGACACTATTAATTCTTCTAATCTATGACCATGGATATCTTTTCATCTATTTGTGTCTTCAATTTCTTTCTTCTGTATCTATAAAATATTTTATATTTTTTGGTGTATGGATGTTTTACCTTCTTGGTTAATTATTTCTAACTGCTTTATTACTTTTGATGCCATTATAAAAGAGATTATTTTCTTAGTTTCTTTTATGGGTAGTTTATTGTTAGTATATAGAAATATGTAGTGCTTTGATTTTTTTAATGTTTATTTTGCATTCTGCAACTTTACTAAATTTATTAGTTCTTACATTTTCTTGGTGGAGTCTTTAGCATTTCCCCTGTATAAGATCTTGCCTTCTGTGAATAAAGACAATTTTACTTTTTTTCCAATTTGGATACTCTATTACTTTTTTTTTTTTTTTTGCCTATTTACTCTGGCTAGGTCTTCCAGAACTGTATGTTGATAGAAGTGGCAAGAATGTAACCTTGTCTTATTCCTGTCTTAGTGGAAAACTAAGCAGTGGACTTGCCATATATGATTTTTTTAAAAATTTTATTATTTATTATTATTTTTAAATTATTATTATTATTATTATTATTATTTTGGCCAGGGCTGGATTCAAAGCCGTCACCGTCGGTATAGAGGGCCAGCGCCCTACCCACTGAGCCACAGGTGCCGCCCCTCAACCTTTTTAAATAGAGACAGAGTTTCACTTTATTGTCCTTGGTAGAGTGCCATGGCAGTCACACAGCTCACAACTCCTGGGCTTAGGCGATTCTCAGCCTCCTGAGTAGCTGGGACTTACAGGTGCCCGTCACAACACCCGGCTATTTTTTTATTGCAGTTTGGCCAGGGTGGGTACAAACTGGTCACCCTCGGTATATGGGGCCGGTGCCCTACTCACTGAGCCACAGGCACCTCCAGCCCTATATGATCTTTATTGTGTTGAGATACATTTCTTCTACATTTAATTTGTTGAGTGTTTTTATCCTGAACGGATGTTGAATAAATGCTTTTTCTGCATCTATTGAGTAATCCTATGATTTTTGTCTTTCATTCTGTTAATGAGTCATATCACATTTATTAATTTGTGTATATTGAACTATCTTTGCATCTAAGGGATAAATCCCACTTGATCCTGGTATATGATTCTTTCAGTGTGCTGTTTTATTTGGTTGGTAGTATTTTGTTGAGGATTTTTGCTTCTATGTTCATCAGTGATACTGGTGTGTAATTTTCCTTTCCTGCAGTATCCTTGGCTGGCTTTGGTATCAAGATAATGTCGACCTCATAAAATAAGTTTGATAGTGCTCCCTTCCCTTTTTGTTTGTTGTAAATATGTTTATATTAATTATACTAGCCTACTTAGTAATACTCCCAATCCTGACTTTTTAAAAGTAATTTTTTAAAGGCAGAACTATCTTCACAATCAATGAAAAACTGAGAATACATAGACTATATGGCCATAGGATAAACAGAAGAAGAAAATACTTGATAGTTTTACTTTTTTTATAATTTGGTTTTTAAATTTGTCTTATTTGAATTTTGAGTAGGTAATATTCCCAAGGTTCAAAATTCAAAAGGCACAAACGGATTCACTAGAGAAGTAGTCTTTTCTCTTTTCCTGTGTCCTGGCTCAGGTCTCCCCAAGCAAAAAAATTACAGTTACATAGCCTCCTTCCCCTTCTTTATAAAAGATGATGATGGATTGGAAGCCTGTAGAGGCCTTATTCCTTGGAACCCAAAGTGGGACTGGAATCTATGTCTCTTAACGTTTTAATTCAGGACTCTGTACTTTGCACTTCACTACGCTGCCTCTTTCCAGTAGCGAATTAGCAACTGGTTAATCAGTGTGGATAGTCCAATGTGGCGATATATTTTGATTGGTTTAAGACTGGGACAAATTGAAGGAGGAAGGCTTACCAGAAAGGCGGCAGGGAACTAGTTTTTTTGAACATCGAAGAGGCAAGGGTTTTAACAGGCTGACCTAGAGTCGGAATCACAAGGTTTGACTTCTGCTGAGCCCCCGGGATGGCGCTTGTCAGGCCCAGCCCGCTGAAGTCAACGCCGCTCCCAGCCAGGCCCCAGGGGATTCGCGTTCAAACCTCAGGCCCTTCACACTTGAGACAACGCGGCCAGGAATCTGAGGCGTTGGGCTCGGTCCTACCAACCCCAATCTCAGCCGGGCTACGGCGCGGAGGGGATGAGGCCTCGCTTGCACCTCTTTAGCCGCTCGGTGAGTTCAGTAAAGGGGAGACCGTAGGCGCCACAGCCAGGGCCGCCCAGGTGCAGACTGCTAGCCGGGTCTTGGGCTATTCTGGCTCCACAGCGGAGCAGATGAGGCCCACCCGCCCGGGCTGCTTGGTCCCGCGCACTCCACACCCTATGGCTTCTGCTCCTGGGGGCACCGGCTGGGGCCGATAACCAATCCGTTCTGCCAGCGTATTGCCTCCCCAGCCCAGAGCAGCTTTTCAGCAGCGCTTCAGTTCCCCAGATGCCCGCCCCACCCTGCCCATCGATTCCTTTCCAGGGAAGGCCGATCACGCGGCCAAGAACGAGACTCACAAACTGGGCTTTTCTCCGAGCTCTACTGGAGCAAGTAGCGAAACCCGGCGTGAGTGTGGGAAGGCGCCTGAACAGGCAACTCTGTGCCCCAATGGCTTTTCTCTGCCTTTGGGTGAGGACCAATCAGGCTGGTGGGGGCGGGACTTCCGTCTCGCCTTGGTGTTGTTGTCCCTGCTCCGACTCCCAGCTGAGTGGTTCGGTGCGGATATTTAGTCATGAAGTCACGGTAGGGACTTCTCCTGCAGCGACGCGGCCAGAGAGCCTGTTCGTGTTCCAGGGGGCCGGGCTTCCAGGTAAGAGCCCGTCCGGCGTCGTGGTGGCCGGGCGGTGGGTTGTCGGACGGCCCAAAGAACACACCCCCCTTGCTGGCCCTCGATCTCCGTGTCGGCCCGGTTACTGAAGTCTGCTGCTCCTCGGTAGATGGACTCGGAGTAAATTTGGCTTTTTTGCAAAGGGAATAAAAAAGCCCCCAGAGGACCGGGTGTCCCATACACCCCTCCCCCGCGTGTTTGTATGTGTCTAAAGTTGTTGGGTTATCTTTGTGCTTCTTACATTCCATTCCTGGGAGGGCAGGAACCTGGACAGATGTTTGGAAAGCTTCTCATCGTCTACCACTTGCTGCGAAGTCCTCGGGCGAAATCGCTTGACTTCAGTTGTGTGGGTTGTTTTGTCTTTGAGGAAGAGGGCAGTCACTTCCTTTATTTCTTACCGTCCACCGCCTTTTTCTTTTGCTGAAAGCTCCGATTGCAGGATGAGACGTGACCCTGCTAAAGCCAGATACCACGTCTCGTCACTCTTAAAAGTCAGCAGCTCTTCCAGGACGCTTATTGAGTTGATCTGCACTGATTAAAGAACTCTGTCCCAGAGAGAGAGTGGGCAGACACTGAAGCCAAGCGTTAGCATCCCAGAAATACTCTCGCAACTTTGGAGGCAGCCACGGAGCGTTCTGTCAGCATTTGGTAAATTCCTCTGTTTTGTCCTAATCTGGCAGTAATAAATTTCCAAAACTGTCCTTTCATCCTCCGTTTCAGCACCGTGGGCAGCTGCTCAGATCCTCTGTTGTTGCCCCAAACCTGCCCAGCTATTCCTCAGTGATGCAGCATAACAGTGAAAACGAATGCATTCCTTTCAACAATGATGTGTTGTTCTCCAAGGAGAACTTCTGCAGTTTTTGACACATTATAAATAAGATGGGTGTTCTACAAAGTGTTCTTGTAGAGAAAACAGATTGATTCAAGATTTAAGGTAGGACTTTTAAGGGTTATTAAATCCTATTTAAACGCAGTTTTTAAAGGGTTGAGGAGGTCAGTTCCATCTCAAAGTAGCAAAACTGGACACTGGTAGCCGTTAAAAATAACTTTGAACATGAGGTAGGAAGTGTAGTGCAGTGCTGTAGTGCAGGGCCCATGGGGATTTTGGACTCAATTTGAAATATTCTGTGGAGTGAGAAGAAATATTATTTCAAGAAGCTTTTGTTTCAGTTTTTTTTTTAATATGTGTATGTCAAGGTGAAGATGGAAATGTAAAGTGTATTATCATGGATTATGGCAAAACAAATGGTTCAAAATACTAGATCCCAAATTTGGGAGTCAAGCTGGGTTCAGAGCTCTTCCACTTACTAATTTTGTGACATTTTCTCTAAATAACAGTTGTTTTGAGGATTACATGAAATAAAATCTGTCTGTTATATAGTTAAGCCTCGCAGCTTTTTGTTGTTGTTGTTGTTTGCTCGTTTGTTTTTTATTAAACTATTAGAAGCAATATTTATTTTTCTCTGTGTTATGACAACTGTTTTTAATTTCTACCTTTGAAGTCAGGCAGCTTGATGTCTTGTCTCCATGTATAATATAATATAAATTACATCGACAAAGTTTTGGTTTAAGAGATTTAATATTGAAGGGTTTGGGATAAGCCCTCATCTATCCTTGTTTAAAGCTCAGAGAATTTTGGAGGGTCCTAAATTGTTGGCATTCAGCTCCCTTCCCTTGATATTTTTCTGCATCCCAAGGTAACATAGATTTATCAGAAGCTTTTCAGTCACTAATTTTAGCAAAATGAAGATAGGACTAGGGGTAGGACTGTAGGGATAGATTTGTCTTTTAAGTTGAATAGGGAGACATTTTATGTTTTTATAGTTCTTGCCATAAAAATGTATGAAATGGAAATAGCCCGGTCAAATATGGTATTCTTTGCTTACTTCATGTTAGTGTGACCTAAAAATAGTTGGCATTTAAATGAAAAGTATGATTTTGGACATTTTGAAATCTGGGAATTAATAATGCTTAGTAGAAGGCAAAATGAAATCAAAATAGTGCTTGAGCCATTTGGCATGTTACTACCATATGGCACTGGGTACGGTAATTTCACATGACATAAAAAGGGGAAGCAAGTTAGTAAGCATTATTATTTTCTCAGAAGAGGAAACAATTAGGGAACAAGTGTATTTCTTTTAATGAAGCATTGTGGTGACTCACTGTTCAACAATTTATATCTTCTGCAGATATTTATTGAGTATCTATATTAAGCTTTTGTGAAGGTTTTATCTGTGCTATGCAAAAGTTGATTTGGGAACAGTGAGAGCATATGATACGTATTGTCAAAATTATAGTATAGCCAAAAATTCCAACAAAAGAGTAATAATAGTTAACATTGATTGGTTATTATGGGCCAAATACAGTTCCAAGCACTTATATCATCTCATGTAATTCTTCCAGTCATTGATGTGGTAGATAGTACCCTTGTTCCGTTTTTATAGGTGGGGAAACTAAGGCATTGCAGATACATAACTTGCTGAATTCACACAGGTAGGTGGTTGAGTAGCTAGAATTTGAACAGGGGTATGCTGACTACATAAAGCCTGTGCCTCTTCTGTCATATTTCACTGGAAAATACAGAATGCTATGGAGCTAGTTTGGATTCTTACTTGCTGGTGACTTTGGGTAAGTTCTTCCTCAGTTTCCTTCATTCCTTCTTCACTGTGTTTTTTTTTTTTTGGAGATTAGGATGATCTGTAAAGCACTAGACAGAGTATGTGCTCAGTAAATGATATGCCACAGCCCTTTCCTTTCATTGAGGATGTCATCTTTTGAAAGATTGTTAGCAGTTAGAGCAGAGTAGGGGGAAGACGATGGATCCTCATGAGGTTGCTGCCCTCCTCATGCTGGCTGCCTGTCCCCAAAGGTATAGAGGTAAGAAAAGCAGAGTACATTGCTAAGGCTGTATAAGGAACAGGCTGGTAAAGACAGATGGATACAGATTACGGAAGTCCTTAAGTGCTAGACTGTGGATTTCACATATAATTTTTAGTTAAGAAAAATCTGTCATAATGGATATTATTTTGGCGATAGGTCCTGTAGAGAAGTAGAAGGCTAGAGGCAGGAATACCATGGAGTTTAATTGTGGTAGCTGAGCAAGAAGTGATGATTGTAGTGAAAGATACAGATTTGAAAAATGTTGGCATTGACATTAAAACTGAAATAAGTATAGGTCTAAGACATTTTCAAGACAATTAGTGATGCTATTAGTTGAAATAAGAATATCATGAAGAATAGATTTTGGTGGAAGAGGGTTTAGGAGGAGAGAGGATGAATTTTTGTTTCTGTTTTTTTCCTTCAGATGTGTTGACCAGTGGCCATTGGTCAGTGGCATAGGAAGTTTAGTTTTGGAGCTGAGGAGTTGTTCAGACATTTGGAAATGTAATGTGAAAAGTGGAAGCTTTGTGTAATTTTGTAAAAACGGAGCAGACCAAAAGCTCACGTTGTGAGAAAATGGTCTAAAGCAATTGGGCTTGAGACTCAAAGTTTCAGAAGTGGTTCTTTCAAAAGTGGTTTTTGAAATTTCTCAGAAATGTAAATTTCTCACTTAACATAGATGCACCTATTCTTTTTGGATGCAGTATAATTTGATTTGTATCCTGGAAGACCAGGAGGTAAGATAGTAGGGAGGGAAAATTTTGTGAACTTACTAAGGCTTCCATTTATTGCTTCAAGGTAAATTGGAGGCCAGGGATTCTCCACTAAGAACTCCAGGCATTTATAAACATAGGTTAAATGTTGAATTGTTCTAACATCTCCACATTTGTTATTTTTGTTATTCTCCTTTGTTACTCCTAGTTGATTCATAGCAAAACCTTTGAAATAGAGCTGTATGCTTGTTAGGGAGGACAACGATTAAAGGAGTCAGGCATAGCTGGAGAGATTGTATTTTACCTATAGCTAAGATTGTGGGAGAAGAGCGTTAGAGGATAAAAAGAGAAGGCTGAATGATGTGATGGAAAGAATAGAGATTCTGGGAACAAATCCGAGTGCTAACCATTCTCTGGCTTCAGTTTTCCCATTCTGTAAAATGGGAGTTGTTTTAAAAATTAAGTGGGAGTTAATGTATGAAAAGTGCCTGATACAGGGTAGATAGTAATTGAGATATTTTTGTTATCATCCTTATCTTCATAAATGAGGGCAAACGCAGAGATCCTGAGATCTAATATAAGAAAGAAAGAAAAGTATCTGGAGACCTTTTGCTCTTGAAAAAAGGCTCAGGACTAAGTAATTGAAAGACCTGTAGGTTTCCTTTCTTTGCAGATTTTCTAGGTTTGATTCAGTTAGGTAGGGCATGATGTTAAATTAGGTAGTCATGCATGGTCTGAGTAATTACCCAATAAAACAAAAATTGGGTTGTAGAGCATGAGAAGAGTAAGGAAAGGTTTACAAACTCTGTTATACACTTTTGGAAATATTACTTGAATCCTGCTACTTAATGGGTTTTTCTATGGTATTCATTCACTCAGTAGACATTTATTCATTTATTTTTTTCATCTGGGAAAGTATTTCACCTTCAATTTTGAAAGATAGATTTATTAAATATTGGAGTTTGGGTTGACAGTTTGTTTTGAGCACTAGAGATATATTGTCCCCTGGCTTTCTGGCCTCTATTTTTCTGCTGAGAACTCAGCTATTAATCTTTTTGGTGTTCCCTGATAAGTGATGCATTATTTCTCTCCTCTTACTGCTTTTATGATATTCTCCCTGTTTTTTAGTTTTAGCATTTTTACTATGATATTTCTGTGGTATCTTTGCATTTACACTGTTTGGAGTTCATTGTAATTTTTGGATATGTGAGTTATTGTTTTTATAAATTTGGGAAGTTATTGGCCTTTCTGCCTTCCTGCCTGCCTGCCCTCCTCCCTCCCTTCCTCCCTCCCTTCCTTCCTTCCTATTATTTCTTCTAATATGTTTTCTGTTCCTTTCTCTTTCTATCTTTATGGTACTTGCATTTTGTGCATATTGATGCATTTAAC